TTGTGAGTCTGTATTCATTCAAAACTATGAAAGAAAATAGTCAAAGTCGGATAAAAACGACTACTTCCTCACGGACGTGTTCATCAACAGACCCAACTACTGCCAAGAAAGTCAATAGTTAAGACCTACTGTGCTAAAACCATTCACTTAGAGGTCTGAAGACACCAGGGAGTCAACCATGGTTCTGAAGGTTGGTTTGTCTTTGTCCGACCCCAGGAGAGCACATCTGTTAACCAAGGACCTCCGCTGCCTGCCCAGCCCACTGCCACATTCGGGGTGGTCTCTGCCTACAGGGAGTACTGAGCAGCAGCCTGAAGTCAAAAGACTTCAAGAAAAGTGGTCCAAGATGGACATTTCAAGAGAACTCACCAGCTAGCAGGAGCGTGAGGTCCATTGCTAAAACTACTGCCAGCAGGAAAATGGAATGCTATGTTATGTGTTTAACCAAATAAAACCTCTATGCGCTCACTCACAGCCAGAGGTCATGGAAATGACTTAGAATCTGGGTTCCCGAGTTCCGGCAGCATCGCTTAGGTTAGCTGTATGATGTGACAGCCCCACATCTGGAGGGGTTCTACCTCTATAAAGCCCAGTAACGCCTGCTTCACAAGCTGCCATCTTCCTCAGAGAAGGATGAATAACACACAGACAAAACACTACAGTGAGGCAGAATTTTCTTCCTTTGATGCATTAAACAGCGGTGGGAACTCTGCCAAAACTATGCTGACTCAGGCCAGCAAGACTGACTGAGAAGTCAAAGGCATGACCAAGTGGTCCCACCGCAGGTGATGGCAGGAAGTCCTCCCTGATGGAATGCACTAGCGGTGGGCTTATTCCCTGACAGTCTTTTGCCGTTTTGCTAACCCCACCTGTCACTGCTTTGACAGTCACTCCCTTTTCTTTGCAATGGCATTGTCCTCATATCTACTGGATATCAGAAGAGGGAGAACAATTTTCTTAAAAAAGAATTTAAACAGTACCCAATAATAGGACAAACGTCTTTATTCATTGAGTCATAACTAAGGTGACTTCCCTGATCCTGCACTCCACAGAACGAGGCTAGCCCTGTCAGCCTTTTCCACACTGTACAGAAATTAGCTGTTGTATTTGTACATTTTCTGTTAAGTCCTAGACACGAGTAGCTGGTCTTGCCTTTCTCCATATCCTTAAAAGCCCAGCTTGGCTCCTAACACAGAGTAAGAAGGGGATTATAAACCTAATGAAAAATTAAGGTCTTGGGCACAAGTTTATCTGTACTAACCTAATTCAGTAAGAAAGGAAATCACTTTGACTATTAGATCCATTTACAGTCTAAAAACACACACACAGATATTCCTAGTCACAGATGGAGTAAAAGCTTCCGCCATCTGGTTTATAAGTGAAATTACTTAATTTCATGTATAATTAGATGCATGCACTTTTCCATGCGGAGTTCCTATTTTAAAGAAAATGAAAAATTAAATTAAGTATAATCTCCAATCCTTTGCACTGGACATTTATACCATTTCTAACCTTGGTTCATAAAATAAAGCATCAGAAATAAAATCACAGATTACTAAACAAAAGAGCTTACAAGATGGCCAATTACTTTTGCTGAATAAACACTTCATTGTTAATTATATTGATGAGGCAACAGGTTTCAGTTAAAACACATACAAAAAATTAAAATTTATGGTAAGGAATATGAACTATTAAGCGATGACGACACAGCTATGAGCTTGGCGGCAGCATACATCTCCAAAGCAAACGCTCGCAGGGAACTCTCTGATCCTAATTATTTAGGTGAGGTTTATTTTCATAGGCCGTTGCTAACACAGTGACATACTTTAGAAGGTTCTGTTAAACAACAGAATGAATTTTAAAAAAGAAAACTTTAATGTACTAGATAAAACTCTTTGATAGATGCCAAATCAGGAAATCTTTCTCTAAACTGCAGTAAAAATGGAAATATTAATCAGATAAGGAATAAAACCCTAAAACTTTACTGTATGTAAAAACAAGCAAGTCTTTCATTGTAGAGGAAAATAAATTAAAATGCAGTTCACATGGAGAATAACAGTATTTGTGTAATCTGTTTCTCTTTAAGAATGATAATTGAACACTTATTTCCTTGATTATAGGTTATAAATAACCAAAATCAGGATGTCCCTCGTTTCCCATCATTAACTATAACTGTTTAGTGTTTGGCTTGAGCAATTAAATAAATGATCGTGCCATGTATGAATCTGTGGGAGAATGAACAGGTTTAGGAAATTCGCTTTTGAACTTGCTAAGTTCGAGGTACCCAAGGAGAGATTTCGGAAGGGCATTTGGATGTGTGCATATGGGGGGAAGCTATAGGAATGGACGAATTGGGGAGCCACGGCGTCTTGGGTCGGAGTTAAGGACTTGGTGTCAGATGCCTGGGTTGGAATTCTAGCTCTGTTACTTAACGAGTGATGTAACTGTGTGCCTCAGTTTCTCTATAGCTAAAATAGGATAATAAATGGGTTGATGTGAAGATTAAATAAATGAACATATGTTAAAAGCTTACTGTGCTCATTAAGTGCTCTGTAAGTGTTATCCATTATTGCTCTCAACAGTAACAGCAGCGGCTGTGACACGTGATATTTAGTCTCTGGGGGGAGGAGAAGTCTAACAAGGGAAGAGAGGAGGGAGGCGGTCCAAGCCCTGGCCGGAGGCTAGAAGTCAGGAAAACAACGAGGGGAACTAAACTGTTCCCACCGGGGAGGGAGGAAAACGGGACACCAGAAAGGTGCCGTGGAAGGCACAGAGGAGAGTCCCTCACAAGAGCCCAGATACTTGGTGACAGACTTTCGTCCAGCTAGTCAGGGGCCTGCAGCTATGATGGTTCCTAATGCCGGTGGCTGTCCATGTGGAGGTCCAGTTAAATGCCCAAAGAGGAAACAAAAAGCAACAGCACCTATTACGGACACATGCACATGAAGTCCATGTATAAAATCACATAGCGGAGGACACGTCCCAGGTCCATCAGCGTCGGCCCCGGAGGAGGCGGGAGGGAGAGGGACGCCAGAGTAAGAAGACGTTGTATGTAGCTACACGTTTCAATTCTCAGTAAATGATCTTAAGCAAATATGACAAAATACTAACATCTGTTAATGATGGCGGATACGTACATGGGTGTGATATTATTCACTAGAACTTTTTATCACTTAAATTTATTCAAGGCATAACGTTAGAATAAAAACGCATCTCATGGCTACTACTACACAGCCATTGGGACTACGAAAATTAAAAAGATGATGACCACACCGAAGGCTAGCGAAGATGCAGAGCACCTGAAACTCTGGTGTGACTCGGAAGGGCTGGATGTGGTACAGGCGCGTCGGAAATTGTCCGCCAGTTTCTGGCAAAACTACGCGAACTACGAGAGCCAGTGATCGACTCACAGCTATGAATCCAAGAATGACCATGTGACCACATAAAGGCCTGGACGAGGATACTGACAGAAGCTTTCTCCACGACAGCCCCAAACTAGAAACTGCCCGGATGTCCATCCGCGAAGGCGCAGATGAACAAACTGGCACCTCCACACAGCAATGGAACGGGAAGAACCCGCTGACACCCACGACGCCGCGCCGAGGGAGACGTGTGCACAGGAGCGTGCACACGCAGGTCCGCCTCCCCGGGGACGGAAGCAGGAACGCGTGAGGGCGAGGGCGAGGGCGCCCGCAGGAGGTCATGAGGGGCGCTGGGAGGCTGACTAGGACGGGCTTCAGGGTGACAGGGATACTGCACGTCGGGATGGGGCTGGACTACAGGTGTCCGTGCTTGTCAAAATTTAGTGACACATTTACTTAACATCTGTGCATTTTATTGTAAGTGCATTTTGCCTCAAAAGGAAAAATAATCTGTAAAGGAATATTAAACTCTGCTTAATGATAAGCATGCGAGAGTATGTAAGGGAATGTCTGCGACTTCTTATGAAACACATTTTAAAAAGGTGGATTGATGGCCAGATGAATCAATATGCGATCAAACAAGTACAGTTAAGTGTTAATGGTAGAATCCAGGGAGTAGGTATATGGGCGTGCGCTATAAAATTGTTACAAATTTTCTGAATGTTTGAAAATTTTCATAAGATGTTGAAACCACCTAGTTAACATCGTTATTATGTAAAACACACACATCTCATCTAGATCAGGTGACCTCCAAGGTCATACGCCAGGCAGAGGTCTAAACTGGAGAGAGAATCAGAGGCTCCGGCCTTTAGCGCAGCAAAAGCAACGCAGGGTTCACCCTAACTCCCCAGACCACTGCGATGGGGTGCAGGTCACGGCTCCTGCCAGAAGTGACGCGTTTCTCACCCCCCGCTGGGCTGGCTCTGCCCTCGTGCTCGTGTCTCTGTGCAAGTGGGCAGCCGTCACTCAGGGCATCGGGGGAGGAATGGCAGCAGCATGGGCTGGTCCCAGTCCCAATATCCAGTAACAGCATCCTGGTATCAGGAACTTCAAGTGTACACCACTGCGTGTCTTCTTTCCCACGTAACCATACGTGGAAAACATCTTTCCAGGCTGGAACTTACAGACCTGTCTCCTCATGCTTTCTAATCACGCTGACTCCCAAGAGGAGCGCATGAGCACTCGGCCCAGCGATCATGAAAGCAGATGCAGTCAGACAGGGGCCTCGGGCTCCATTACCTTCCTCGCCAGACTACCAAGAGACTGGGGCCCTGAGCTAGGGCCTCGCGGCCTCACGGGAGGGCTTGGCATTTGTCACCGTATGACAGTCCACACTTTCTGTATAAGTGCATTGTTACAACAGGCCCAAAGTGTCCCAGTCCTTCAGCGTCTGCTATACAGGACGCCAATAAGCACAGCTCGTCAGATTTTGTTTTCCTAATGAACTGAATGACTATGTGTCGCATCATATACTCCGGTTTTCTGTTTACGATACAGAATGATGTAAAAGAAAGTAACGATGCGAGGAGAATTCTGGAACCGGTGGATCACTGAATTGCCCTCTCTTGCCGCACTTACCTCATTTGAAGGAATGGTGGCGAAGGGCGTGATGACCGCGGCTAGCGGGATCTGCGCTTGCTTGGCCATGTCGGACGTGCACGGGAAGCAGTACGTCGTGCAGCGAATGTACCGAGGACTAGCGTTGCCTGAAACGTTCAGACACACGCACTTAGAACCTGCTCTCAAAACCCCGCCCTGGAATACATACTTGGAAAGGCACTTCTGGGTAATGCATTGCCTTACTTGTGAAACTTTCTTCGTAATTTCTAAAAAATAAAGGTAGCATTGTGCAATTCTACCAACTGAAACCTAGGTATACTGTAATTTCTTGCAAAGTAAAAACTGAATTTTACTGCAAAAATATTAAAGAGATGTTTTAATTATTATTATTTTTCATAGGAAGGTTATTAATACAGCCAACTCAGATCTGAGAGGTGTCTAGAGTCACTGAAAGAAATAAAGCAAAGGCACAAAAACAGGAAAGCATAAAATTTCTTTACGATTCTATCTGACCATATTTTATTTTTCTAAATATGAAAATTAAATTTAGAAATGAAAATTCTGCTTGTAATAGAAATATATTTTAAAACACCCGAATCCACTTTCAATATACACTGAGTTTCCTGACTAAATATCTTTATTTCATGAGCTACATGGCTATTAAAACAATATCTGTAATAAGAACACTTCTGAATCACTACAATAACTTATTTAAAATAAATATTGAAATTAAATTACAATTAATAACTACAATATATTATGATCAAAAGAACAATCATCAAACAAATATTTACTGAGTGCCTACTAAATTTTAAATACTGTTCTAGGCACATCCTTGTAGAGCTTATGTTCTGCAGAGGACAGAGATAAGAAATAAAAAACCTAATAAATGAGTAAGTTATATGACACTAGAAGATAACAAAAGCTATGAGGTATGCAGTTTTAAACAGTTACAGAAGAGGCCTTACTTAAAGGTTATATGCGAGCAAGGACTCCGAGGCGGCGAGGGTTCCCCAGGCAGGCACCTGGGCAGGTGTCAGTCCTCACACCTCACAGAAGGCAGCGTGGAAGGGCAGGGAGGTGGGATGAGCAAAGCGCACTGGGGCAGCGGGGAGGGAGCTGTACTCACGTGCAGGCACATGAGGCTCTGATCAAAGCTGCACCTGCGTCACCTGCCGCCTGCTCTTTCAGGGCGGCACGGACGGACTAAAGTGCGGGGTCCCCATGAGAACTAGGCTGGCTCTGCAACTCCGACATGACACAAGATGCTTGTTTATGCACCGATTCTATGTTCCCAGAGTCGAGTACACGACCCATTCAAATGGTATATTCAGAATCTGAGATGTCAGATCTTATCGAGAAGCATTTTAACGTGCCGTAAACAACAGAACACTGTATTCCCGGAAAGACCAACTCCGCGCGAGGCTTGTCAGGTACATTAAACTGACAGCACACATTGGACAGTCAGTAAGAGCTCAGCCTCTCCTTATCCTAGTAGAAAAGTGGGAAAACAGACCCAAAACGTTAAAGGAGTTGCTGAAAAGATACAGCTGGGGCCAGCACCAGGCCTGCTGACCTCTCAAGCATTCAGCCCCCTACTGCTGTGCTGACGCCAGCCCGACGGTCTCTGACGCAGCCAGTGAGTTAAAGTGAAGTACACACGAACTAATTCAAACCCATCAATTAAAACGAGCGTTCTTAAACGGATTCTCACCAGAAACTCTCTGCAGATGTCTACAAGCAGAGGACAGAATGCAGGTGGCGGTTCTTTCTCTGAACCTGAGTGACTGATGACAAACTGGTCCCATCATCGACTTTAAAGAGATTCCCATCAGTGACAGCTTTATTCAAGGGTGTCAGTGTATGAGCTTTCAAATAATGGTGTGAAATTCTGAAACCTCAATCGAGAAATATTCCTGAAAATACATACCTTGGTCTTGGACCACACAGTCTGTGGTGACCAGGGGAGGGACCTGGCCTCTGGTATTGGTGGCGTACACTTGTCCCCCTCTGGCAGCTCTGTCATTCTCGATCACCTGGATCTGATCGGTAAGACAGCGAGCGCAAGTCAAATAAAGTTAAGACCCTTCCCAACATTCTCCCTCACCCGCTCATTATTCACATACCAAAAAGCATTTTCTGAACCTTTCGGCTCATTTCAGATGAATTCTCACTACAACCCAGCATGTCTGGTTGCACCCTGGCTTACTTCCACAGTCTCAGATTGCTCATTTCACATTCTACTGTTACTACTCTGAGCTCTGACCCTGACCCTTTAGAGAACTTTATTTTTCTTCAATGTGTTTACTGGGAGCATAGATAAGCATTTTTAAAAAAAGATTTCTTTTAAAGAAAATACTTTTTGCAGTTAAAGAAAACATCGAATTCAGAAGCAATGATTTACAATATATAAATTGAGGAGCGGGAAGAAGGGGGTTAGAGTCTGGATTTCAGGGGAGAGGTCCTGGAACCTCACGTAAAGCCACGAGCATGGGGACTGCCGAGAGCCCTGAGCCTCACGCTGCAGTGGCCTACGAAGCATCCGGAGAGCTGGTGGACACAGATGGCAGGGCCCCATCCCTAGGGCTTCTGCTTCAGTGGGCCTGGGGTGGAGCTCCTAGCTGTCAGTGACAGTGAGTGGCAAGAGCTGTTGCACCTCGTGGCCAGTTCTCTTCCCTTCCTCTCTTTGTCAGGAAAATAACAAGTCCCCAGTGGGGCACCCCTACACCCTGAATCCTGGAGTGACAAGGGCATAAACCAAACTGCAGTTGCTGCAGCCCACAGGTAACTTAGTTGACAAACAACTCTTTGCAGCTGTAGGCAAAGCTGGGATCGTGTGTCATGTAGGATATCTAATGAAAGCTGACTGATACAGATCCTAAAGAGCAATCTTCCCAAGAAATCACCGGGGTGGAGAAGAATTAAGTTATAGCTCTGCTTTTATAGTAAACAGGTTTGTTTTTCTTTAACATGCAAATGTAATATACTTTGTACTTCCATTCTCCATAGGGCTCCTACCCCTTTTGAGAGGGATCCTTTAGTTATTTAAAATAGCATGTTTATATAGGATAAGCTCTTACTACTAATGATTTATTAAACATCAATAAATACTGCCAATATATGCCAACAAAAACATCCACAGACACTGCCAGGTTTATAGACTATCACAGAAAACCCTACATAGGCTGTTTCTCTCAAGGAGACCCTCGTCCGCCGGAACGGCACCCCTCCCCCGCCCCCCCCTCCCCGCACACACACACACACACGAGGAAGGGAGCCTTCTCTGTGTGGTGGGCATCGTGCTTCAACCACAAAGGCCAGGACGGCTGCTGACCAACCAAAGCTGCTGAGACAGTGAGTGCCGAATGGTCCTTTGTCAGGGTTCCCGTGGGAGTGGGGAGGGCACTTACTGGACTGGGGATAGAGTCAGGGTCCAGCTTCTTCTGGGGCGGAGGTGGCCCTGCCATCTGTGCGGGCCCTGCAGGGAAGCCTCCTGGGAACGAGAGCTGCGCCCCTGGCATCTGTGGGCTGTAGTTGGCTGCTTGGGAAAAGTGTGACAAAGAAATGACTATAACCCAAGTCCCAGATGCGATGCTCACCGTTCAGTCAGCAAGCTGCATTTTCCGTCCCACTAAATTGAGGCAGGGAGTGAAGTGTGACTGTCTACATACGGTTCCCCTTTTCTCTCAGTCACCACCCTATTCAAAAGGCACCCTCCCTTGAGAGTCGGAGAAGGGCGGCCATTCCCTCGGGACATGGCCAATTCCCCATCGGGCAGCCCTCCTGCCCCTGCCCGCCTTACCTGGCTGCGGAGGGTAGCCGGCGGCCACAGCCTGTCCCAGGAGAGGTGGGGGCTGCAGCGGGGCCCTCGCGGGAGCGGGCCCAGCGAGCCCGTCCTGCCTGTGCGTGGGCGGAGGCAGGGGTGGCGCCCCTGGGCCATTGAGCGCAGTGGGTGGTGGCGGAAGGACTTGAGGCCCAGGCTGCAGGATGGATGGTGGCGGTGGCTGTGGAGGGCCCTGGAATGATGGCGCTGACGGAGGGCCCGGGGGGCCCTGGCTGGAGGGGGCTGGACCTGTGCGAGAGAGACCGGGCCACCTAAACATCGCGCTCCCGCTGACCCCACCGAGTACGCGACAGGGACACGCGCTCACCTGATACAAAGCGAGAGAGTGCCCCGCAAATCAATGTTCTTTTTTCTAGGGCCACAAGATAAAACTTTCATTCAGTAAGTGATACAAATGTTATCTGGGGCATTTTATACAACTGGAGAATTTTAAGAGGGTAAAAGCAACACAATTTTAGTGAGAAGCCTGGCAGTACAAACTTTGACTCGGTTGTGCTAAGCTGACTTAACTATGGGGCCAGACCTGGAACTGAACCTAGACAGTGGCATGGGAGAAAATGCTGTTAGGTCACAGGCGTTATCCAGGTCACTACACATTCAGTGACCAAACGGACTTTAGACCGAGGCGGACATGCCCAGAGAAGGCGTGGGCCACTAGCGTGCTTCCCACTAAGGTGCTTCCCACCGCACGGGACAGAGCTGGGAGGCAGCGGACTTCTTCCTCTCTCTGATTATGTGGCTTTGAGTTGCTTCATTGGAGATTTACCCATTTTGGAATCAATAAAAGATAAGAAATACTCCGAGGGGGGTTTTGACTGATACTTCTAAGTCTAAGTACGGAAACACGGGTCAGGAACGGATGGCGGGCTGTGCTGTCATGACGGGGGCGAGGGGGCGGCCCAGGATGCTCAGCACCTCCGCTGATGGAAAGCCCAGGGCTCTGCTTCCCCTCCCGTCAGGCTCTCTGCCGCCTCACGGCATCTGAGCTCCCTTTCTTCCCACGATCTACGCAAAGAATCAAAACGCGCTGTGAAGCAATGAGTATCATTTTTTATTCTAGGGTCCCCAATAAACAACACAAGGTTAAAACTACCCTCATATTTCTTAAAATAATTCCGCTGTTCTAACGTTTGTTTGTGACATTCGCATTTTTTGTTTTTTATTGTCCTAGTATTGAACAATACTAATGGATCTTTCGATTATGTTGAAATAAATGGCAGCATGATCAGGAAAAAAATTAATTATAGCCATACACAATACAAGTAGTTTAGTTTACGTAAAAATGTCCCCCAAATGACTTTACTATGGTGTGCCAGAGTTGCACGTATTTAAAGGAAGAAAACCCTTCTCATTAACGATACTCATGACCAAGGCTGTCGAGGCACACACCTGACTGGTTACCATAGCTGTTGATGTGCACGGCACCGAGCTGACTGCCCAGCTGGGAGACGGATGGGGCGGGCATGGGGCTTGCGTAAGATGACTGTGTGGCAGGTGAATACGGTGCATATGAGGGTGCTGCACTGTTGACAGGTGGAGGTCCTGGAAATCTAAGAGAGGAAAAAGGATGTTAACACGGTAGTGTTTCATATGCAAATGGCATACAACGAATGTCAATAACTTGTAAAATTGAATAAGCCCATCCCGTGGGCGCCTAAGATATGACTGATAAGTCTTTAATTACTCTTGATGTGAGCTCGAAATGAATAATGTAGCATTATCCCATACCTATGTTCACAGGCTGAATGCATCAACATACTTAACCAAAAAAAAAATCTTAATGTAAACACAGAACCAGCTTTAGGAATCAATTTGGGAAGCTGAGCCCACTACAGCCTCGTCTGTACTAAGGTTACTGATCAATAGAACAGAAATGAAGACAACTAAAATGCTTTGTGGTTGTATCTTTATGACCATTCTCCTTAAATCTTACCCAGCTTTTGAGACAATATATCACCTGTACTATAATTTCAGTGGGCAGGCCGGCCTCTACAAAATAGCACTTGAAAGCAAATGACTCAGTAAAAAGTTTTGAAATCACTCATTTTGTCTTATCTAAAAATTTCATCATGCTTTTATCTCTGCTTTACTTTGGACTTCTATGTTTACTCTTCCTTGCTTTGCACGAAACAGCCACCCCCACCTGAAAGACATTCCCGTTATGGCTGGTCTGTCAGGTGAGGTCGAAGTCTTCCTGCAGAGTCACGTTAGGACTTCTCATCAAATTTAAGTAAACTTTAAATCTTCCCAGAAGGTATACTCTGATTTCGATTTCTCTTTAAACCAGGAACCACTTCCCTAGTGGCCTATGACCTGCCCCCCATCCTTCCTTGCCACTTGAGGTGTTAGTTAAGAATATTTTAATAATATTCCTAAATATAAAACTGAACTATCTATTGTATAGACAGCACAAAGAGGACAGAATGTTTCAAAGTAAAGTTATGACATAAGCAGCCTCAAGTATTTTTTTTAACTTAACAAAAAGTTAAAGATTTAAAATATAAAATGAGAGAATGTACCACCATCAGCTATTACTTTTTGACCCATACATGCCGACATTTCATTCATTGCTCAATATAAATCCTGAGAGTTAGGCTTCCGAAATTCACAAATAATTTTTTTCTGACAACATAAATGTTTTAAGTCTTCAAAAAATTTGGATTTTAAAAGCAATATTACCAAAAATAAAATATTAAAAGGCTAATAAAAGGTCTCACATACATAAAGGAAAAGAAATTAACAGAACATTTTTAACATACAAAGTAATTTAATCTTTTCCAGTTCCATTACTTTACTAAATTAGTTTACCCCAGGTCACATGGCATGTGGTGTCAGCACTTAGGTGAGAGTCCAGGTCCTTTGACCCCTACCTGGAGAACTGATGTGTAACCATGGGCAAGCCACCTGATCTCTGTAGCTCCCAGCCTTCAAACGGTAAAAATGAGCAGAAGGAATGGAAGGATTCGTTTCTCCGCTATACATATAATGTGCTTAAAATTAAGAATCACGTAGATTTAAATATTTCTCATGTCGATTATGTCATTTAGCATGTTTCTGGGGTGGGAAACATTCACTTATATAATTTACTGATTCATTGAATGTCACATGAGGGCAGAGTCATCATCAAAAAGAACGTCAAAAAAGAATACTACCAGATGATTAATGAAACATGAAAATTTAGCTTCAGATTAATCCCAAACCTCTGGAGAGCTGACTCAGTTGTCTGTGGCCTCTTCAACTTCAAATAATTGTCATTTTCAAGTTTGCCACGAATCACCGAGGGGGTGACCTGTGTGCTCCAGTTTGTTAGAATGTGGAGGCAGGGTGCCAAAGTTTTCAAGATTTGATTGAAACAAAATCTGAGTTTTAAAGACTTTGCGTCAAATCCTATCATTCTTTACTTCCAAAAAAAAAAATTAACCTTTTTCTTACCCCCGCTCCCCGCAGGCTGTCAACACAAGCCACTGGCGTTGTCATTTCTTCTTTTTTGAATTAAAACCAGCCATTAAAAGAAAGTTTTAAACAGAAAAAACTATTTCTCTTATTTTTCTTACTTCCTCCTTTTCCACTGCAACCAATTCTTAGTCGATTCGCCCCATCACCTTCAATTTGGAAAGATGAGTCTCCTTCTCTTTCCACCTCCATTTGCCATTTCCTTGTCAAAATAGGTCACTTACAACTGACTTTTCCCCTTATAATCCAAAAATAGATTTTTAGGTTATAGATTGTATTTAGTAGATTAACTCTGCCCAGCATTAAACCCTGCGGAGAGAACTTTAGTGCCCGTGACGGGTTTACGACATTTACTGTGCCTCAGCCAAGATCAGAGAAACAAATGTCTAGGAATGATTTTAAATTTTATGAAACATTACTTTTGAAATAGCACCGTTTTAAAATAAAAGTTGTACATTTTAAATTCAAATCAATATAATGACTCTGAATTATATCTTGTTTTTATTCAACAGTTTAGTAAAAATTAGGCCCTCTAAGTAAATAACTCCGACAAAGCCTCTGATCACCAAAGAAAGGTGGTGGGCGCCCACGCCCTGCGGCAGCCCTGAACTACACCCAGTCACTGCGCCCTTGGCCCTCGCACTGAGCTACATACACAGCAGCCTGCCAGCCACGGACGCTTAGCCCGACGCCGGACGTTTCCCTGACGTTTTCATTTTTACCCCCTGTCTAACCTTTAATTTGCGGCTCAAGTTGAAGCAAGTGAAGCGGGGTGGGGGGCAGAATCTGGAACCAGGGCGCACAGAGGAAAACTCTCACCCAGCTCGCGGCTGCCTGCGCCAAGGCCAGCGAGCACGTCCTCACGCTGCAGTCCCCACGCCTCGCTGGCCGGACGCTGCACTGGGCTCATAGTCCCTCCAGGGATGCTCTGAGCTTGCCATACGGACTGTCTCATCGGGCCCGTGGCTCACCGACCCCAAGGGATGGCATCGAGGGAGGCCGATGGGCAGAACCAAACAGATCGAAGACCCGTCCAACCCAGGCTGCAACCGGAGACCCCACTTCTCCTTAGCTTCAAAGCAGCTGTTAGATTTTTGCATTTCTTCTGAAAAAAGACATCTGAGATGCTCGGCAGCTCACAACGCTGACTTCTTCCAGATCTTACCCCCTCCACTCTGGACCGAGAATTCTATTTCTTCGCCTTGTGAGTGAGGAAGGTGAGGCCTAGAGGCCCAGGAACGCCACGAGCGTCACACACAAAGCTGATGGCATAAACCAGAAGAGGCTTCTGGGGTGTCCGCCTTTCTGCTCCCCCTCGCACCCCGACCAGGGTAGCAGGGCAGGTTCTGGGTCAGGCCCTTTGACTTCCCCGGCTTCCTCAGACCCGTCACATGTAAGCCGAATGACTCGCACTCACCGTCCGTTCCTGCATCTGCCTCCCACAGCTGCCACTTTAATGGAGCCGGGAAACGCCCGCCTCACACACGCCCTGAGACATTACTGTGATGATTTTTAAAACTTCAGAGGGAGTTTCCCACCAGCAGGGACTACGGGCTCCTTGAAAGAGTAACTAAATGGCTTCGCCATCCACAGAGTCCAGATTCACACTGAGGGCCCCCCTCCCCGACCCCCGATCTTGCAGCCTAACCGCCTGGGAAAGGGACCTGGGAGGCAGCAGACTCTGGGTGATCCCCGGAGAAATCCAGCATAAACACTGTCTACTCGGCACCAGGGTTTCCACAGCAGCACCCACAGGACAAACAATAACGGGCTTCCTGCAGGGAGGTGTGACGCGGGCTCCCCCCAGGGGGGCGTCCCTCCGGGGATGCTCTGAGCTTGCCATACGCCTCATACCTTAGCTTCCCCAGCCCTGCCTCCCACGTTCCGTGCCTTGATTCATTATGAACGCAAACAGACGTCCTTCCTGTGCTGTCCCTACGCCTGCCTTCCAGGCGTCCCTGCCCGTATCCCTGTGCCTCCGCACCAAACCCAGTCTTACCCACGGGCCACAGTCCGAATTAATTTTTAAAATATGTATCAAGCACCTATGGGCACTGAGCTCAGTTCCATAAAGGAATCGAGAGAACAGGGGATTTAAAATTGTACTGGGGAATACAGGCCATAGGTATCTGAAGGAATTAGAGATTAATCCAAAATCTTAAAACAAGATGAATCTAACCAAAACCTAAAATGGATGATACTGACACAATTTTTATATATTTTTAATATGTACTAGTTTTGTTTTTTCCCCCTCCTAACTCTTCCGAACGCTTTGTATCCTAAGGCAGTGTCTCAGCACATCCTTTCAAGTAAGTGGGCAAATCAAGAGGTCACACTTTCAACCAATAAACATGCAAGTCTAGAAGAGACTTGTGAGGCACTTTCAGTAGAGTTTACAGTGAGGGCTGGAAACTACCTCGCTCACCTTTGGGAAGGGTGACCCTGGGCGTGCGCTCCGTTCTGGCTGAACTGATGGGGTCCAGGAGGTGGAGGGCCCTGTGGTGACATCGCCCCTGGTGCAGCGGCCCCCAGAGGCCCTGCCGGCTTCATCATGCCTGCAATGGAAGTGCAAAGGGATGGGACACAAAGACACCAGGTTAAAGATGAAAACTACGAGGGGAGATGGGGAAGAGATGGGTTAGGACAAGTTCTCCTTCAAACCATCACGGGCCTACCAATGCCAGGCTCTGGCAGAGTCATCTGACCCGTAACGATGGAGAGCAGAAAAGAAAGGAATCCTTTCCACCACACTAAATGGAAGCTAAAGCAAAAGAAATAACCTTTGCATTTGGTAGAGGCCCCTTAGCAGAACACACTACCACACAAAGATGCTAGGACATGCTAGAACACACAGTGGAAGATGCCAAGTGGATATCGGAAAATAAATCTGGAAAAAAAAACAGTATAAGACATAAAGCATCCTAACTATAAATATGCATGAACATATAAAAACCTCTGAAAACACCTCTGATTACAGCGTGAGGAAAGCAAATGGAGAGGGGACATCTGTCCTCCAACAAATCCAGCCTCTGGAGTTAATCCTTTTCCTAGGAACCCAAATACTCAGATGACAGACAACTGAGGGGACTGCTCAGGCCCTCACACTTGCAGGTCTGTGAAGGCTTCTCTTAAAGCCTGTCGTCAGACATTTGCCTCTCTTCTTCTAGAGAACTTCGCTGAGCTTGGCTTTGAGTCGTTCACCCACCCGGCCACTTAGTAGCCAATGTAGGGCACTGGGCACGAAGTTTATCTCTGAGGACCTCGGTTTCACCTCACTGCAAAGGAGAAACTTACACTAGTGACTAGAGTTCTCTGACACTCCCCTAGCTTTTCGAAAGGAAAAAACAGGAGAAGTGCACGTTCTCTCATTTGCTCTCGACACTTCCGGCCTGTGCCATTGGTCGCCCCCACCCTCCTCTCTGGCTCTGGCGCCAGCGCCCCCCAGCTGGCTTCTGTGCACGCCCGCACTGGACCTCACGGCGGTATTTCCTACTCAACGTCCCCTTCATTCTCCACCTGACTCTGGGAAGTTTACTGCCTAGAGAGCAAGGGAATTAATTGACTGGTTTCTTGTAGTGCGTGTAATTATTTGCTGTCTTAGTGCTAGTGTTGCGGATTTTCTACTTTCATCCAAAATAATGTTTTGCAAATGAAAATACAAGCATGCATATAATTATCCCATCGAACCTTTTACAGAGGTTTCCTTTCTTAACACAGGACTCCTCAAACGTAAGACAAATTTTGTATTAACTTTACAGGCAGTTTTATTTAGCAATTTTTCATATACCTAGGACAAAAGCAAAAAATATTATTCTTGTAACACTACATTTTTATATAAAGTTCTAAACCCCAAACCCAACGAATTAGAAAAATATGAGGCTTGCAGTCACACAGACGGATTTGAATTCCTTCCCACCATTTAATGGCTGTGACCCTCAGAAGACACTTTCATCTGTCAAAACGTGGACTTTTAACACTGTCATGGCACTAATGTCCTGTCTCTGAGGACTCCTCTAAAAATCAGAGGCAACCGCGGGTATGAGAGCATCCAGAACAACACCTGCTACACAGAGGTGACCACTCGACAAATCCCCGTTGCCTGTCCCCTGGCCATGTCCCCTGCCTCTTTCTTTCAAGGATTTATATTCTAGCAAAACACATGCACCATAATTATATGCATGCTTGTATTTTCATTTGTAAAACATTATTTTGGATGAAAGTAGAAAATCCGCAACACTAGCACTCAGACAGCAAATAATTACACGCACTACAAGAAACCAAAAATATTCTCATTTCTTAAATAAGGTAAATAGCAATTTCATGAAAAATTCTCACATGTATCTAGAGAATCAAAAACCAGTTCTCGGAGTTTCTCGGGTTGGGGTGCTCCCCGTGCATGCGCCGTGCGCATGTTCATCAACTTCTGTCTCTAAACTGAAACCAAAACCAAAACCAACACCAAAACCAAAACTAAAACCAAAACTAAAACCAAAACCAAGACCAAGACCAAGACCAAAACCAAAAGCACAAAAACACCGGCTGTCCTATCCTTAAGGGGGACTGTGATACGCCGATCTTACTAAAGCATTCTTTCGCTTTCGTTCTTGGAAGTCAACTCTACAGCAAGATTCAAACAGAGTCTTGTTCCACATACATCCAGTGTGCCTTAAAGGCACCACGAGCTCGCAGCAAAGACAGCGCCCCAGAAAGCAGCAGCTACAGGGCATGTGAGGAGTGTCCGCAGGTGCAGCGGGACGACCTAACTAACTGTTCAGGGCATCGACGAAAGTCCAGAGGGAGGACCGCCTGGAGGAGTCTGGAAGGCCCAGCAGTTTTCCTGGTGTAGAGACAGGACAGGGGATTCAGGCGGATGTGAAGCTTGAACGAAGACAGGAGAGCATGGCCGAGTGGGGACCGGCAACAGGCTGAGGGTGGAGACGGTGGCGGAAGTGCCCGAGCAGAGGTTGTCCAGGCTGGCTGGAGTCTGGCAGCAGTCCAGGGTGCCATCAGACCTCACCCTCAGGGCCCGTGTGGGGGCGCCCTGCTGCGGCCACAGCCCTGGTCCTCGCTCTCACGAATACTCCTGGCTCCCTGCCGCCCTTTAGCAAATCCCTTGCTGCCACTGGCTCTGCTGTCAGCAAAGAAACCCTGACCGAGCATCACGGAAAAGCATTCCTTGGATTTGGCCCTGGATGTCACAAACTGAACCCAAATTACAAAGCATTTGTGAGAAAAATGCTGACCTAGAATAAACGAGGGGAGGGAAGCGCTCTATCACGGAGCAGACCCAGCCTCGCAAGGCCTGCTGCTCTGGGCCTCTGCCGACAGCGGGCGCCGTGCGTGCACCCCCCGCAGCCCCCAGGACGCCAGCCGTCCATGCCGCTCAGCTTCCAGGCCAGGGGGGTTTTGCCCTTGGGGGCACTTAGCACTGTCTAGGGCATTCGGGTGCCACAGCTGGGGATGGGGGCGTGAGGCAATGAGTGCTGGAATCAGACAGGTGGAGCCATGGAGGCTGCTAAACAACCTACAGTGCCCACCGCAGCCTCTCACAGCGAGGAAGGAGGTGGCCCCAATGATCACGAGTGCCGAGGATGAGACATCCTGCTCCTGAGGGCAGTGAGCCCCGATTCCTCCGTACACTCTCCAATGCGGAGCGTAACTCTCCCCAAACACACACGAGGTCTGACCCTCGCCCACTCGAAATGCTTCAGTGGCACCCGTACTTCAAATAAAACCTAAACAGAGTCTCCAGACGGCCCGCCTCCACTCCGGGCCACTTCTCCCTGCTCCAAGCCCCAGCCACGCTGACACTCCCGCAGGTCCTCAAAAGGGCCACCTCCCGACTGCAGGCTGTCGCCCCACCTGGCCAACTCTCATCTATCGGGTCATTCCCTCCAGAAGATCCCCTTCACCCTAAGTCTTGGTTAGGTGCTCCTGCCCTATGCTTCCGTGTCGCCCTCCACTTCCTGATGGCAGCGCTCCCCCGCGTTGCCATTGGCAACCTACTCAGTGCATGTCCCACAGATAAGTGCTGTAAGGACTGGGATTGGTGCATCGTATTCATTGCTACATCGCCACAAGTATTTTGCTCACTGAATAGATCTGTTACATTTGTTACCACATAGCACTAGTATTACACAAATGCATGAATGGAGCTATGCCCGTGAGAAACAGACACTGGGAGTTCACACTGGCCAGATCCGTGGTAAAAGAGGTCCTTTAAGGAACCATAACTAGGTTGTCTGTCTGTCAGAAATACAACAGAAGCATCACCAAAAGAGTAGAAAAGAAAGCACGTGATGCCTGAAGATGAAGAGACCTACGGTTATTAAGCACAGAGAAATAAAGGCTAAGCTAGTTAGTTGCAGTCTTAAATAAACAAAAACACCACAATTTACAGAAAGGTATTATTTACAGAGTTGGGTAGCTTGGTATCCATCTGAGAATTGAATAAGGAGAAAGAGATTTCAATGAAAGCAGGAAGGATTTAACCCAACAAAGATAGGGGATTTTTTTTTTTAGTTTGTTTATTTTTTTAATACTGGTAAACAGCGAAGTGTTTTGCTGACAAGAGGCAGCTTATCAGTGACTCCCTCGGGCCTTCTCTGCTCTAGGCAGGTCCGTTGTCACAGGGCTTGGAAAATGGTAGAACAGATATCAGGGGAATACACAAGGAGACTTCTCGACAAGTCTGAGGTAGGATCTTGGTCAGAAATGCCTAGGAGCATGGCGCTGGGGGCACAGGGCAGCATGGACTGGCTTGCTGGTGACCTGGAGTGCAAGTCAAGGCACAAATGCAGACCAGCCTCCGAGTGATTGCTAGCTTAGCATTACTAGAGTGATGGTGTAGGAAAGGGGCAGACGAACTGAATAATAGAAAATGGGTAAATTAATGGAGGCCTAAGGCGCTTACGATATAATCAGGGGCAATGGGAAGCCATAAAAGGTTTTTAAGCAAAAGAAAATCAGAATCAGATTTGCTACAAAAGTCCCTCCAGCTCAGGGCTGGGTCATCTAGAGAAAGGCAGCACCGGAGAGAGGACGATGGCTGAGACCATTTTAGTAAACCGGGCAAGAGATGGACGGATGGAAGACGAAGAACGACAGACAGCAGAAGGGAGCAGGTAGGAAAGATGTTTACAATCATCAAAAGACCCATTGGATTGGAGCAGGGGAAGGGGAGGGACTTTTTTTAATAGTAAAAGTTCCTAATTTGGGTAACTGAATGAACGATGCTACCAATGAATGAGATACAGAATGCCAGAAAAAAATGGGTTCTATTAAAAAACAAAAACAAAAAAACAACCCTGAACTGTTTTGGATATGATGAGTTTGATGTACCTATGTAAACAGGTGGGCAACTGAAAATATGGTGTGGAGCTTAGGACAGACACGTGGGCTGGAGACAGATCTGAGACTAGCTCTTCACATGGAATGATATAGTTTGGGGGAAACCCATAGAACAAGAGGAAAAGAGGGTGAAGATAGAACAGAGAAGGAGAAACGGCAACACTTAAGGTCATGTAGAAGGGGGTCCTCAGAAAGAGATGTCCAGAGAGCCACCAAAAAAAACCAACAAAGGGCAGTGTCACAGAGACCACAGGAGAGGGTTTTGAACAAACCGAAGTGGTAAACAATGCCAGATTCAAAAGTGGACGGGACCGTGTCTACTGCATTCGGTGACAAGGGCCACCAATGACCTGGACGGAGAAGGGGACGGTGGGTGGGGCTCAAACTACGGAGTGGAGATGACCCTGAGCCACAGGGGCCTACGAGGCGAGGCTGGGGAGTCACTATGTGACCTGTTTAAGATGACGACTGAAGAGCGGGAGCAAGGGTAAGTGACACTGAGTGTTACACTGAGGTGTGCACTGCAGTCTTCTGTTGTGTTCTTGTGGGCCCTGGCTACACCACCAGCTCTGTGACCTTGGACAAGTCATATGACACCAGACATTCAGTTTTCTCAGCTGTGAAAGGGACTAATAACTTACTGCTTAGCACTGTATGGACATTAGATAAGATAATACACGTAGTTTTTGGCCCAGTGTTTGATACATGGTAAGCACTTAAAAAATAGTAATTTATAATTATCATTACACGTAAACACTGAGGGGAAACGAACCCTCAGACAGAGAGAAACTGGAGAGAGGTGGGTTACTGGCTCTGAAAGGGTCCAGAGAGACGGGACTGGAAATGCTGTGGGAGGACAGGTCCTGGACAAAGGAAGGGTGCCTCATCCACAGGTGTTTACAAACGCAGGGCCTTCCACAGGAAATGACGTGTGGCTGCTAGCATCGAGCCTGCGTGCGGGGCTCCCTCGCCCTCGTGACCACACTCCTTCCCAACCCAGCACAGCCTGGATCCTCCACACCTGAGGTCAGGCTAGTGACCCCCAAGAGACACTCCCTGACTCAGACACAGCCCACTGCCACCAACGGTTTCAGCTGCATTCCCCAGCACTCTCTCAGAAGCCCCAAGATCTGTCTCACACAAATGTTTTCGGGGAATTTGGGAACATCAAACCTGAAACAAGCTATTATTAGCTTCACCAGTGACCCTGGAGCTTGGTCCCTCAGAGCAGGCCCCCTGATACAGGGAGGTGGCTTCTTGGTGCTCCCTGCCATGGGCAGCAACAGTGGTCCCACTCTGCTGTCCTTTTTCCCCACCTCTGCCCCGAAAACCAAGATCCCCCACAGGGTATAACAGTTTAAAACAACCAATGTTGTTCAATAAGAATTTTAGGGCAAGGTGATGTTTTTCTCATTATTATCATCACTGAGTAATCTTTAGTGGGAAAATCTAATGATATTTTTCTAATATCAAAATTGATTTTATAATATTATTGCCAAACCCACTTCGACATATAAATTTAATTTGTTTTTAATTAGGCATTTATAGTAACATCATACCACTGATTAAAAAAGTACGTCTAAAATAAATAAATGAATAACCAATAAGAGCAAATAAAAGCAAAAACTCAGGCAGCTTCTTTGTCTTAATCTATATTTAAAAACTAATCTGGTTGTTTTCCACGCAATAATCAAACTGATGACATAGGCTTCTTCCCCGAGAGCCGTTTCTAAGTGATCCTATAACCTCAAGCCATTGCCATCGTACGGTGACCATATAACGCTCCCAAGGCTGCTTGCTCAGAACCTGCTGCACGTCTGAGCCTGAGAAGTCGACAATCACGCACAGTCAGAACCATGCACTTTACCTGGGGGAGGAGCTGCATGAGACGGGTCCCCATAGTGTCCGTAATGCGGTGGAGAAAGGCCCATCCCAGACTGGGACTGAGAATAGGGTGGTGTCGCCACATAACCTTGTTGGCTCATGATGAAAATATCATTCCAAGAGAGAGTTCTACAAAAGAATCCTGCAACAGAAAAAAAAAAAAATGTCAACAAGA